AGCATCTACACACACGTACAATATCTTCCACAGCATCAACACACACGTACACTATCTACCACAGCATCAACACACACGTACAATATCTACCACAGCGTCAACCCTCAAGCACACTATCTACCACAGCATCAACACACACGTACACTATCTACCACAGCATCAACACACACGTACAATATCTACCACAGCGTCAACACACACGTTCAATATCTACCACAGCGTCATCACACACGTACAATATCTACCACAGCATCAACACACACGTACAATATCTACCACAGCGTCAACACACAAGTACACTATCTACCACATTGTCAATAAACACGTACAATATCTACCACCGCGTCAACACTCACGTACAATATCTACCACAGCGTCAACACAAACTGTACAATATCTACCACCGCGTCAACACACATGTACAATATCTACCACAGCGTCAACACACAAGCACACTATCTACCACAGCGTCAACACACACGTACACTATCTACCACAGCGTCAATACACAAAGACAACATAAGCACAAGTGACACCAACTTGGGATTTCGTTGTACATGAATCTTTATCTGATTGCTCATATGAAGCAACATTTTGAGTAATGGGTTTCATCATGAGAAAGAAACAGAAAATGAATACAAACCAGAGTGAAGAAAGGTCAAAAGAAAGGTCAAACGTCAGCATTTAAATGAAAAGCAAGTCATATGTTTTTATTGTTCGTATATCAATAATACCTTCTTTAAGTTGACAACAATCGGCTTAGCTTGATACATATTGATCGAATAGTGCCAGGAGCAAGCCAATATTGTAAAGAGAATTACTGGGAGAGTGATGCATGATATATTTTATTACAGAGCTTGGCAGCCCAGAGACACAGTGGAACAGCACATTAGTGGGGAAATGCAGACAGAATATCAAAGCAACGCTTTAAAAGTGCAGCTAAACCGCTTTGGTTTCAACTAAAAACCAATGTATATCCTTCTATAAACATTTTCTTTGCACGAACAACTATTTAAAATTAAGATAACGTTATACAAGTACCCTTACAGTACGTTACTGGGAGGATCTGGAAGACTTTATCATAGTTAGGAAATCGGTGTCAGCGACAATTTGGATTCTCCAGACATAACAACACCTTCCAACTATATACAGAAGCCAACCACCATTATACGCAGAAATAAACGCATTTTCTCGCGAGAAAAATAGGACACCTCTCGTTAGAGTGATATGTTCAAACTGATGATAGCTACAAATCCTAAAATGTGGATTCCGTTCGAGGCATACAAAATAGCAAAAGACTACCGTTCGAATATGTACTGATGTCAGTCACAAACGTACACAGGACAAAATACATTTGAAAACTGTTTTGTTTGGTTTTATTATGTTTAACGTCCTATTACCAGCAAGGACGTGTCTCCATGTGTGTACGTGTGTCAGGGCAATGTATGGTGGTGTATTTGCATTTACAAAACGAGAATGATATCAACCAACTTGTCATATATACAATTGTAGCTGGTTGTTATTATTGGATATTTTGCTACTTATCCTGTTGGGCACATTCGTCCAGATAACAAGGAAATAAAGAGTATATCGAACCAATATTAAAATAAAAAGAGAAACACGTGTGATAGATTTTGTGATAAAAGGCTGTGAACGAAGATATTTAATAAATCCCAGTGCTGTCTCCTCGGAGTCTTCCCTGACGGATCCAGAAATGAAACTAGTCTCCGGTGACCGATATACTAATAAACAGTCTAATATATCTTTATAAAAACTACACTAGTTGCTATTACAATGTCTTTAATTTGCTAATTCATGACCGTTCAGACGACGACACTGAAAAAAAAAAAAAAAAAAAAATCTGAAAAAAAATAAATAATCTGACACTGTCACTGAGGACGAACATGATACTGCAGGTAACCTTTAATAACCTGTCTACCTGTCCCTTCACTACCCTGGCATACCGGGGTTACACATGCAACACCAACCGCATGGTAAGGAATAAATAATGTTCCAGACTGCCTCAAGGCAACATACTCAATATGCGACCTGCACGATGGTATCATTAATACTCCGGAAGGTGCCACACCGATACCCTTTAATATACGCTTCGAGGTTTCCTAGTGTATCTTAGCTAGTTCAAAACAAAACTGCGAAAATTGTATATAAAACTGTGCTTCGTTACGGACACAGACGCGGTTAAACATAAAAATAACAGTTCCTGTGAAACGTTATTATCATGTCATTAAATAAAGTTCATCGTCACGACGTGATCTCAGACAGAATACGAATGAATAAAAGAATAATGAGAATATTGATATAAGCACAATAGAAAAAGAACACAAAGGTATGTCCGATCACAACTGGGTAAAAAGTGATTATTCTTACCTTCTGAATGATATCAATAGATTGTCTAGTGAATGATATTCATCTGAGTATTGACCAGTCAGACCGTTTACTGGTCAGTCCGAAAAAAACTAGACAGCTTACAGCTATTCTGAATTAGTTGAAACGAAAAAAACCTAGAACCTTCAAAATCAAAATTAACTCTAAAATATAAAGAACTGACTTTCATGGAAATGATCTTTTAGCACATTGTGAATTTTGTCCAGTTAAAAAAAGATAAAATGGGCGCCCGGCATTGCCTTCGACAAATGACAGAAAAATATGATAACTCACTAAACTTGGTGCGAATTTCGAAAGACATTTATGTTTCATAGATGAACTACTATGAACTCTTTTGTGTTTCGCGGTCAAAAAGGTGTAAATGGCGATTTCTTGTGTAAACTCCACAATGTAAACAGAGTAATTTTTCACGATACTTCATTTTATGCAAAAAAGGAGAAATAAAATAACAATAATAAAAACGCAGATAGAAATTTGAGATGTTAAATATCTTTAATTGTGCACAGTAAACCTTTATAGTGAATGGACAGAAGTTGGTACCATCTGTCTGTGTTATTTTATAACGATTTAACGACAACACCTCGGCTTACGACATCATCTAATATTCATTATCAATTATATGACATGTATAACGTAGTTATGACTTAATCTTTAATACATTAATACGATCTTATATAAATCCTGAAAAACACATAAATGGTATAACGAAGTGTTTCCAAATAACTACATCCGGGTATTATGTCTGTTGTTAGCAATTAGGTAAAGGTTATAAATACACGAACACTTAGGCTAGTAAGGGTAAAGGTGGGATTTCCATAGAGAATGGGGAACATCAGTTACACGCTATATGAACGGCCGTAACCACGAATGCTGTTAAAGTACGTTCAGTATGTATACAAAATTGTTCCCACGTGTTCATGCAGATGCAAAACTTTATTCATTTGATGTGAATCAATTAACAATTATAACAAAGTAAAATAGAGTATTCAGCGATAACCTTTATTTGTGTACTATCATAAACACCAGCCATTCTAAAAACAATGTGAAGAGACTGTCTATGTCCTCAATTTTGTTATCCATATACATGTCTTAGCTTACGGTTATTAAACATATTTTACTCCAATGATCAATCGACTTTTTCGGCAAATATAACATGGCTGCCCGTTAGTCTATGTTGAGTTATGATGCTGCCTGTGTTAGGTCAGGAAGGGGTCAAACACGCCGTTTTGGCCTAAAGATGTACAAAAGATCATTTTCAAAATTGATGTAACACTTGCGTTTATTCTGATAACGTGTCCGCTTATATGTCAATCATGATCCTTGTTATTGACACACAATTCCAATTTTGAAAATGTAAAACGTTACAACAATCAGATACAATATATATGGTACCGTCAGAACGTTTGATAACACCAGTAACCCGGAAAATACCAAAATAAATACCTATTCTATGATAGTGGTGGCAAAAATCAAATAAATTGTTTTAGGAGGAAAAGTAGAAAATAGAAATTGGAAAGTATTGTATTAACTACCTATAAATAAACACAAAGTTAGATAAACACTGCTACATGGAGCATTTAAAATCAAGTTATTCTTTTTGAATGAAGCAATCAACTCTAGTGTTTACTAGGAGTAATCAGCGTACTGTGACTAAACTGGTAGCGATACACACATTGATTGACATCGATTGTGGATGAGAATACACATCCAACCAGACGAGATTAGTGTACTAATATCAAATGACCGTATTGCTCCGTAAGGATGACTCTCCATTTGACATCATATTGTTTAGTCAATATATCTGTCACGTAATCTTGTTCTTTGATGTCACTTAGAAACTTTGGTATCATATTTACCAGCAGCAGCAGCAGCCCTATCGTAAAGGACAAGGAGCCAACAGGCAAACACGGTCGACTGCCTACTCCATTGGACAATAAATCACAGCCTTGTTTACACATCTCGTCAATTGGTCATTTACAACCCGTCCCGTTCTCACACAGCCAATATTTATGACTCAATAAATATGTATCACCATATTATAGGATCGTAAAATCCGACGGTCAATACCGAGTGATTGAAATACAGTTATTTAAAGATGTTTTTTATGACCTGGTGAGGCAAATTGCGTTAAAGAATCGCACAAGGGACTATGGTCAAACAAGACCAATACAGGTTACTTCTTCAAGGCCTGGCTTAGTTGCCGGACGGTGTGCTCCTTGAACGGACTATTATTGCTTGCATTTTACCATTTCATGACCTCCCCCAAGTGATTTGCACACATTACCAAGGGTGGTAAGAGGTATCGTACCCACAGCTCCAGTTACCGTTACAAAACGACAAGAATAAACATCAAAGAAAATGCTTCCTAACAGGACAGGATGTGTGCTGAGGGTGAAGATATTTTATTACACAAGTCCGTTTTAAAACCATTTATACTTGAAATGTATTTTAAGTTATTTTCGTTCATAAGAATATGTAATTCGGTTACTAGACACGGAGTATAAATGTGTTTTAAGTCAGGCACATCACTCACATAGATACATTTGCTTTCTGGAAGAAGCGTTTCTTGGTAGTGCAAACGTTGACCACCAAGAATGACAGACAAATGCGGGGACCATCCATTTGTGGATGTCAGCAAGAATCCGTTTCCTGGTGAACTAAAAACGTTCCCAAGTTGGGAACTAGGTGTTAAGATAACCATTGTGGCGAGCATGGAGCTGATAGCTATTGTAGGTAACTTACTTATCATCGTGATCGTTTGGCGGAACAAGAAGATGAGAACAGTTACCAATTATTACATCGTCAACATGGCGGTGTCCGACCTGTTCGTTGCCTCATTCTCCATATGGATGCACCTCGTGGACGACGTGACCGAGGGCTGGACCGTCGGCGGGTTTATGTGTAAATTCAACCCATTCGTCCAAAGTGAGTACTTGTGGAAGTCATAATATTTTATTTCAGATCATTATATTTCTGTAACAAGCAAATGTCAAATTGGATAAGGTGGAGACATACCTATAAAAGCCCTTTCCAGAAAGGACGAACTATCGTCTGCTGGATAACCGAACTACTCGGTAGTGAAGCGGACCTAAAACCACTCAATCAATCAATCAATTAATGAATCAAATAAGAAAGAAATATTCCAGAAATGTATATGTAACCCGGACCACAAAAAAGATTAAATTTCATTTGTATTTTGATTCAGTGGAAAGATCTCCTTTATGCAGCAGAGTCATAGAGGATGTAATTAGTCTTATGAATGAAATAAAATCTGTCCTACGTATTTGACACTGAAAGGTGTGTTTAAAAGAAGAAAAACAAGTAAAATACTTGTTGAAAAACAACGAGAAAATATTTTATTATAGCCAATATTAATAGTCATTGTGATTATGGTTTATTAAATAACGTAAATTTGCAATGATGATTGATGTTGATCATAACATTTCTTAAATAAAGTATTTGGGTTAACATGAAATAATTGTTTGAGAATAAACTATCTATTGTAATCAGAAGTTTTAACCTTGTAACGTTATTAAATAGTTGTATGGCACATTTTAACTTTCGTTATATTTCGACATATATTCATTCTTTTGACCTTTAGTAACCCTTATTAGTCATCAATTGACAAAGGCGCAGTAAAATTGTTTGCTTGACTTTCTTCAACAACAAACATTTCAAAAATAATTGCCTCCTTATTTTGTATTTCCGGTGAATATATATGTAACATTTTGGATTCCGAAAATCAAAACTACAAGTAATTGTAACTGATGAATTTACTAAAGCCGTGGGATTTGTAAATGGACAACGAAGGGACATCGTCACGTCTGTCCGTCAAATCAGCAACTGTTGATTCGTAGTAAACTTACATTCAATTCAGCGAAATATTTCTTCTGAGATTTTCGTACGGAAATAGTGATACAAATATGCTGCGGGGGTAAACTACTACTTGGTCTTATCTTCGAGTGGGTGTATATTCAAAAAGTAAAATAAATAAAATCCAATGCTGTTATCCAGCTATCTTTATGAAGAATGTCACGTTTCCTTCGAACAGCAAAAGCTTGCCACTCTTTTTCTAACGTACGACTGCTTGGAATTTGTTTTTATAAATTGTACATTCACATAAGTTTGATAATTGGATGACAAGTTTTGCTGTTTTCTCCCCACAGTTACTGCGATGTGTGCTAGTGTGTTTACACTGATGGCGCTGGCTTGTGACAGATTTTTTGCCATCATGTTCCCACTGAAGTCGAGAGTGACCCAGCGCAAAGTCAGTGTTGTTGCAGTATTCGTATGGCTGGCCGCCATCTCGATCGGCATGCCTGTGCTTTTCGTGTACACTTACAATGAACGCCAGTGGAGCGACTTCACGGAGAAGTTCTGTACGGATGTCTGGCCTTCTGTGCGCGAGGCGGACGGAGACTGTGACAGTGGACGTCGGTCTCGTCGCGCCTTCTGGACATGTGTCGTTGTTGTACTCAACTGGATTCCAATGCTCGTCATGGCAATAACGTACAGCATCCTTTTTATAAGACTCCGCAAGCAGAAAATAGTACCAAGTAGTGGGTCAATTTCAATATCAACAGTTCAACAAAAGTCAAAGAAAAAGGTACTATTTTTGATTATTGTCGTATCTGTGTTTGTAAATTATCACGTGTTGTCTCAAGTCTTAATATAAAATATGACAACTTGACATCACATTCAACACAAATCAGCTGAATGAGGATTCATGAGCTTATTGAGTCAATAAGTTATATGTTCGAATCTATTTATTATTAAACATAATTGCAAAAAAATAAGGTTTGTCATGGTCATTCCCTTTGCGGTGATCATTTTAAATTCCAGAATGTAAAGGTTTTGTTTTTATTTCAATAATTGAAAAATAGCACCAGAAGTAAAACATATTTTATTGCAGTTAGCTTAGGAAACGTAATACAAAATAATTCAGTTGTTAAAAGTAAAGCTAGTTTAACGATTCGTCAAAGGAAAGGGTTGGAAAGGGTCTCTTTAGAAATATGGAGAAATTTTCACATATTTTGTATTCTTTTACTTCCGATGGTCATTTAAATTTCAATGATTTTGTAAATATACTAGATGAAAGTTTTATGCTGAAATGTCGTTTAGCCAATCAGAATTTTAACAACTAGGCAATGACTAGGTCACTCAGGTAACATACGATAATCGTTTCTGCGGTATTTATTTATATCATATTGGAAGATGTTGACCGAAATATTACGGAATATTTTACTTATCGGTATACATTGTGCGTCCACAGGTGGTGAAGATGTTATTCGCAGTCCTCCTGGCGTTCATAGTCTGCACGATTCCTTTCCAAGTGGCGAAGTTGTATGAGCTGTACAGAGAGGTGGAGGATCAAACGGGCAACAGCAAGGTAACAAACGACTAAAATATTATATAATGAGACAGGAAACAGCGAGGTAAACACGATTTAAGATATATGCTAAGATAGGAAACAGCAAAGTAAACACGATTTAAGATATATGCTAAGATAGGAAACAGCGAGGTAAACACGATTTAAGATATATAATAAGACAGGAAACAGCAAAGTAAACACGATTTAAGATATAAACTTAGATAGGAAACAGCGAGGTAAACACGATTTAAGATATATGCTAAGATAGGAAACAGCAAAGTAAACACGATTAAAGATATATGCTAAGAAAGGAAACAGCGAGGTAAACACGATTTAAGATATGTGATCAAACAGGAAATAGCAAGGTAACGATTTAAGATATGTGATCAGACAGGAAATAGCAAGGTAAAAACGATTTAAGATATGTGATCAGACAGGAAACCGTAAGATAGGAAACAAACTAAGATATGTGAGACAGAAAATAACATGGTAATAAAAAAACATGCGAGATGTAAAATAAAATATAAAATAATATAGGAAACAGCAATGTAAGAAACAACCAGGTATGATGGGTAGATAGGAAATAGCAAGGTAAAAAACAGCCAGGTAAGATGGGTGGACAGGAAACAGCAAGGTAAGAAACAGTCAGGTAAGATGGGAAGACAGGAAACAGCAAGGTAAGAAACAGCCAGGTAAGATGGTTAGACAAGAAACAGCCAGGTAAGAAATAAGCAAATGAGGTGGCGAGACAAGAAAAAGTAACTAGTAAGGTTGTAAGTAAGGATACAGCAAGATAAAAAAACAAAGTTATAACATGATCAGTCAGGAAACGGAGAGGTTACACCGTGTATGGCCAGGCAGGTGGAATCAAAGTGATGATCTCAAAGTAACAATGTTGTTTTTCCTCTGTTACAGTTACCAGATTGGTACAATCCTGTGTATTTCGCCGCCGTCACGCTCCTTTATTCCAACAGTGCTATTAATCCAATGGTGTACGGTGGTATGAACGAAAACTTCCGTAAGGGCCTCAAAGACACTATCAGTGGTTTATTTTCTAAGCATGAACGAAGCAGGAGTGACTCAGGCCGGAGCCTTAACATCTCCGACACTAGACAATCTGTGATCAGTAAATACAATGGCACCATGCACAGAGATTCAATGCAAGCGTTTAGTAACGCGGAATTTAAAGAAGAATCTGTCGATTCGGATAAAGTGAACGGTTTTCTTCAGAAGGAAAGTGATAACAATACTTCAAATGGGTGCATTAACCCATCAATGGAAACATAGTCGTGAGCTTTATTCGCTAGAATTGGATCGTGCACATTGTGTTGGATTCCGTTTGCGGGGATTCCTAAATTTCCTACAAAACAACATAAAAGCAAACATTCTTCGCTCTTTGCATTTATGGGAACTGGCGCGGCATTTCTAACGTATCTTTAGTTTTAATAATTGGTTAATAATAACATCGATTTTCTCATTTTTGCTAGGGTGATTCGTAGATTTGATGTTTATTGATCCTTTGTTTTTGGAAAATTTAAAGTTGGAATCAAGGGAGAACAACTTTTCAAAGATAATGGTGCGAATGCAAATTTCCCTAAAATCTAATGAAAATCAACTATAAGGTATTGTCTAGCAAAATTGCCTTAAACAAAGCGACAAAAAATGTACAAAGTTCGACAAATACAAGAGTAATAGAAACAATCAATATGCTATTGTACATATTTACTGTTGTAAGTTCATTTCATTATAAATAAGTTTGTTTGTAAGCTCAGTTGGTGATATTTGACATTCTATTACAACTCGAGGTAAAAACTGATGAGCCTTCATCCTGAAGGGAAAATTGTGATTCTTTGGGACCACCAAATAGTAATGCAGTATATTTAGTGTGTAATGTCGTTTAGCACGTGTTCACTCAGTGATTTCTACTGCCTTGGAGATATTGACCTTTACTAACAATCCTCTCCAGGAGACATTTGAGTCGGTGACAGACAATTGCTGTTACAGTGTGCTGTCGTCTGGAGTATGTTAAAAGTGATTTCGAGTGACAAGCTAGGAGGTGTGTACAACCATACACAGATAGTGATAGATATAGGCAGCCAGAAATATGTGATACGCCACCTGTCTGGAAGTGATTGAAGGAGCACTTTACGCATGTATAAAATATAGGTAATGTAAAACATAGTCGAGTGTATTAGCGTATGTATTGCTTTATTCTCAACAACATGTTATTATCACAGACATTCACGCAATTTCACATCCTATACTCTTTGACAAATATTCCACTTTTTTTTATTATAACTCTAACACAATAAATGACACTATTGGATACATATTATAGTATGTTAATGGTAATTTCCTATTCCACGAGCTTCTAGTTATATTATGTAAGTTGAGGAGTTGAACAAACGTTAAGTGTTGCAGTCACATTAGTGAGTTAAATATTTCTGTGATGAAGCCATAAAAGTATTCAATATTAACATGTTTAATGAACCATGATATAAAACATAACTAGTAAAGCTGTATTTCCTCTTATCTGACGAAAATAGATTATCAAATCCTCAATATGGATGCTCGTTTATAATTTTTAGCAATCTTTCTTTTACAGATCAACAAATAATCAATGATTTTTAAAATAAATGAATTTCAAAGTAACTGAAAAGATCTCAATATCAAAACCAAGTCATCTGAATTTTGACAAATGTGTTATACAACAATATTTCAAAGTCAAGTACAGCATATTTATTTGACATTTGATATTTAAACTGACCATTTGGTTTCCCCCTTCGTTCATATAATTTGCATATGGAGGTTTTAATCATTATCTAAGATAAATGTGTATTTGAATCCTTAGTTAGGTCAACGCAATTGTATTATTGACCCCTGAAATAGGAAACAGGGGTATTGAAAGTGCCATTCTATGAAAAAGTACAACTTATTGTATTTCTATAGACAATGCTAAAAACTTTTATTTTTAAATACTGTAATAAGTTATTAATAAAAAAAAAGTTGTAGTTGTAGTTGTCTCAAATATTTTTTCTGGTCGAAATATCAAGGGAAGATATGCCTTTAGTCAACAGACCATCACTCAAAAAAGCACGGTATAGTAGATTTAGTTATTTTGGATAAAGACCATTGTCTCCACTTAATAAAATCAAAAATTAAACTTTATGGAATTAAATGTTCAACTTCTTATTCATTAATTCCTCATCACTTCGACAGAATAGAGACAAAAATGATTAAAAAAAACAACAAGTATCTATTGGTGCAAATGCGTAAGCACCTCTTTGTTGACAAAGTCAGGTCTGGGCAATATTAGGTTTGCTGATATATGAATATTAAAAGAAGCTAACGTACGTATGAGTATAATTCGGAATAAGAAGATTAAACAATACAATGAAATATGCAATCATTTTGATTTGACATAAAGAACTAATGACATTCCAATCGCGGAATTATTCACGATTATACTCACTGCACATTCTGCGTTGGGGGTAATATTCGTGAACGCTGTCAGTAATACATTTACTTTGAGGTTCAATAATTTGACCAAAATTACGCGGAACATGTAAAATACCACAGCATGTTAAATACTTATGTCCATTTTCAGTACATTAACTATAAAATTGACAAATTAACATAACAAATAATACATGTAATGCACGATGTTCCTTACCATAAGGTAAGTCGGTAAAGTATGGCTGTGCGATTTGCTTCGTTGTCGCCAGAACTATTGATCCTATGTGTAGTCAACCACGCAGGGTCGATTTACAGTGATTTACCACATTAAAAAAAAACATATTTGTAATATCGTGATTATTTACATGATAACATTACAGCTTTGATATGATATTAATTATTTAATCCATAAAGTATAAAACGTTAATACTGTAAATTACTTATGTCTTGCCTCATATAATGTCCACTCGTAAAATGTGCGTTTAACAATGATAATGAATTAAAATGTCACGCGAATAATTATTTAAATATATCGTTAAACAAACAACGTGGTGGAAACGCTAATATTTAAGATATCACGCGAATCATTTAATTCAAACTTGTTTAACGCGAATTTATAACTCACGAATAACTAAATAAAGATCGTTTCACGAAATTAAGCGTACGGGAAACATAATAAATCGACATTATTTTTCATGGTAAGATACAAGGGGAATAATACATAAGTAATTGGAAAACTAATGAAACTTTGATTGAGTAAATAATGAGCTTTGAAAGTAATGAACAACATAATCTAATAAATAATGACAATTAATGCACTATTATGTAACAGGTCAAGGAAATATTGCATAATTCTGAATATCGATGCTGCATACCGGATATCACTTTTTCGCGCATTTTATTGATATTTTAATTTTTTGGTGAGATTATGAAATATGAAAATATTCTTATGATTGGACCAGATACAAGGTAATAGAATAACATCGAACATAAAGACTACAAACTTGTATTAAGAAGAAATATGCTGGACGTGAAAAAATGATATGCGGTACAGCAAACATCCACATTTATTTACATCAACATTTTCATATATATTTACAAATAATGGCACTCCGAGTTTCTGATTAGTACACATGCATTAACAGAAATATTTAAATTATAATCAATACTGCTCTTCGGTAGTATTTAAAGTATTGACTATAATTTAGTGAATGGATTCACAGAGCATGATAACAAAAGGACAAATTAACGTATAAGTACATAAAACATATCCTACGGAATTCTGACAGTATATCCCGTCCGTCGTAATGTGAGCAGTTTTCAAAATACATATTTTCATATGTTACTTGCTACAAGAGTAGACGTCTTGCTTCTGTTCGCAATCGAAACAGGCCACGTGACAACACCAGTGGAAGCGACAGTTACATGTGGTCCTGATAGTAACCACTTCATGTTTCACGAGTAAACCACATGCTTTACACAAGGTCCGACAACTCTTGCGTTCAGCAGCACTTTGTTTCACACCCACTTTATTCCTGGAGCATTGCCTCCCTAACGTTCCGTTCAAAGAGAGGCTGTCATTTGCTTTGCAGTAGTTCGGAGATTTTTCCAAAAATACAAGTTGTTTGTTAGAAATCATGTTCAACTTGACACCGTTTACGTCATTGCCTTGTCGCAGTTTTCCATCGAAGAAGTTTGCATGTACTGCCTTTTTGTACCTCCGCTTCAGATAGTTTCCAACTGAGCGAAAATTGCCGAGTTGTCTCCAGCAGGTCCGCACACTACAACTTCCGGACACACCATGACATTTACAAATCAAGTGCGTTGTTTTTCGAACACTCTGAAACGGTATTTAACGGCATGTTAATTATAAAATATTTGTACATAAGTATACAAGTAAGCATCCTGTTATACAGAAGGAAAATAAATGAATACTTGTTAGATAGTGATACCAAAAAGTCGCTGACGAAGTGTAACACGTTTAGTAGTACCGGCAATCCATGTAAATATATTAAATACAATGGTGAACACATGGCAATTCCAACTAACTTACCATTCGACCGGCACCACTGTTCTGAGTTACAGTTGCTGCATACGAATCTTTCGCCTTTTGCATTGACATGAGGAAATGTTTGGAGACGGAGTCACCAAATTTGATATTGTCACTACATCCACCCCAGCTCCAGTTGTATCCTCCTGAAAAATGTATATTATTACTAGACCAAAATATCTGAAACCCTTTCCTTCTGTTAGCTGTCATTTTAACTTTAAAATTTTAACACAAAACTGGACATTTGAAATTTCGTTTTCTTCCATTTATTCGCAGACTTTCAGGATCTTTTCAAGGTTCAACCATATAACCATGGAACACAACATTGTATAAACAAATGCTAAAATGCACATTACGACAATTTAATAACATACAGTTGTACATGTACATTAGTTATTACACAATACATCACAGGATATTGGTGTAATAGCATTGAAAAACTAACTTTACTTAAAGGAAAGCAAAACACAATATTTCAATTAAATTCCAAACTTTCATATTTCACACCATTTATTTATTGTTTTGATATCATTTGCTATCCAATTTTCGGGTTTTTTTTCAACCATTGAAATAGGTTTTTTTTTACATATGTAAAATACATCGATTCTTCTTGTCACTCTACTTAAAGTATTGTGAGACATTGTTTTATTATTAATAGATTTTTTTTTAAATTGGACAAAGACTAGGGAAAATTAAAGATGTCATTGAAGACTTGGTGCTCACTCATATTTTGAAGCAGTAGGGTATACAAATGAAGAATGCCAGTAGTAACTGGGAGGTATGGTAACAGTAGTAGAATATTTCTATTTTTTCTTACACATCACGTCTAACTTTAATGTCTCAAACCTACCATATTCAATACAAGACCTCAACTATTTGGTAAACAGAAAATAATGTATTTACCATAGCTTCTCCGCATCATCTCTGTAATGCCGTAATAATACAAATGTGTTTTATCGAACACGTAACATGTAGGTTTACATCTTGGAGTATACCAGATTATTTTATATTGCATATCAGAGCTAACAAAGTATACGTTACAATATACATTGCCACACACAAGAAAAATGAAAATATATATTTTAGGTGTGAGAATGTCAATCCTTATTTATGATCATTAAGTGATATAATCAGTATTACAGAGTCATTGCGTCCTCAAACAAAGACATATGGGCGACGAAACTGCTGCATCATACCAAACGTACGACAGAGGATATTTAATATAAAGAACCTACACACTAAACTGAGATTGACTGTGCCTATTGAAATAATCTGAGCCTGAATGCGTTTTAAGGTATTTATAAATAAGTGTATCGAATGATTTCTAAAATCTACTTGACTACTAAATCTTTGCACGCTTGTACTGTCTTGTGATCATAAGTTCATAAGGTATGTCCTGACATTGAGGAGGAAATCTACAAAACAAGCTTATTCACTGCCTATTGTACATGTGGAAGCATCACAGACGTGACCGCTCTTGGATTCACTCAAGTATAAATAACACGATTAGGTGACCATTTTATGGAATATCATGTCAAACGGCGTTAAAGGACTTCAGGCAAAAGTGGGAAAAGGCGTAAGTATGCCAGTAAATTGGCTATACCATCCTTAAGTATGGATTAAACCACAGATATCTCGCTTTCATTAATACTATAAGTATAGACTTTATACACGTCCTGCCTTGTAAGTGGCGGAAGGAAATAATAAGATTCCCCGTGTCTTTACATGTTTTCCTAGGGCGTTCACATGACAAATATCGCACTATTTGACAGTTCAAAGCGACCTTTTTGTCACTTTAACAGAACAGGTTGCTGCTAATTTACACAATCACATACGATTCATTTGTAAAAAGGGGTACTATAGTTGTATGCTTTAAGCACAGGTCCATGTATCAAAACGTGCGATAGGTCAGCATAATAATGTTCTTGTTAAGAAACGTTCACAAGGCCGTAAGTGTTTTTGGGAGATTTTATAAGTAGAGTAGAAAATGATAACTGATTATTTCATTTGAGGTATATCATCAGTTTTTTCACAACAATATCAAATTGATACTTTCAATAAGATTCATCAGTTTTGAAAGTTTTACTTTTTACATAAACAATGTACGTATAAAACGTGTTGAATACGTACTCAGTCAGAGCCTGACAAGGGGACCCGTCGGTCTACTCAGTCAGGGCCTGACAAGGGGACCCGTCGGTCAACTCAGTCAGAGCCTGACAAAGGAATCAGTCAGTCTACTCAGTCAGAGCCTGACAAAGGGACCAGTCGGTCAACTCAGTCAGAGCCTGACAAGGGCACCAGCCGGTCTACTCAGTCAGAGCCTGACAAGGGTCCCAGCCGGTCTACTCAGTCAGAGCCTGACAAGGGGACCCGTGGGTCTACTCAGTCAGAGCCTGACAAGGGGACCCGTCGGTCTTCTCAGTCAGAGCCTGACAAGGGGGCCAGTCGGTCAACTCAGTCAGAGCCTGACAAAGGAATCCGTCAGTCTACTCAGTCAGAGCCTGACAACGGGACCAGCCGGTCTACTCAGTCAGAGCCTGACAAGGGGACCCGTCGGTCTACTCAGTCAGAGCCTGACAAGGGGACCAGTCGGTTTACGCAGTCAGAGCCTGACAAGGGGACCCGTCGGTCTACTCAGTCAGAGCCTGACAAGGGGACCCGTCGGTCTACTCAGTCAGAGCCTGACAAGGGGACC